TGCTATTCATCTCATCTCCTCCACAGTGCCCTGGTTTTGACAACTATCCATGGATTAATATACCTTCGTGGGAGTCCAGGGAAGAAATTCTAGAACACCATTGGAGCAAAAAATCTAAACATAGGAACATTGAAGAAAATAAAAAGAACTGTTTCACTGCATCACCCCTGCCCGTAGGTGGTACAGGTCAGTGACACGACAGACCCCCTCAGCCCAGAGTAACTCCCACAGGGAAACATAAAAGTATAATGAGTGAACACTCAGCTTCCCCAGCTGTGCAGGATGCTTCCTAAGAGTCCTCCCTCTTCTTCATTCCACCCAGAATACTGAAGGGATGCACATGAACGAGTAGCTGGGAGAATGTGGAGGAAGGAACAAAGGCAAGAGACTCACAGCAATCACAGTATAAAACTCAACAAAGGGCCACATACCTTACTAGCTGCTTCACAGATTCCATCAAAGGCCTGCTCACAAGCTGCTTGGGATGCCTTACCTGTAGACTCCCCAGCTGGCCCATGGGCACCTCGAATACTCTATGTGCTTCACCCCTTTCACCACCCCATGGCTGGACCTCTCTAGGTGTACCCTGGACAGCAAGTATAGGGCTTTACAGATGGTTTGCAAGCACATGCACTCAACAGGCTTGATACCGTAGGATTGGGAGAAGGTACACAAATGAGCATTTCAGGGCACTGCCCCTAAGGAAAACAAATGGGAGACTCTCCGTGCTTGGCCTGGCTTTGCAGTATTAACAGAAGGTATACCATCTTAAGAATCCCCCCCCATCCCAAGAGCGAACAAGAGGAGCGGAGTGGGTGTATCCATAGAAAAAGTACAAGATAGCCTCAGAATCCCTGAGCCTGGTTAACTGGTGAAGGTGTTTTCCTCTCAAAGCCAGTTATCAAAGACAGGAAGAAGTGACTTCTCCAAGTAAATACAAAGACAGTAATGTAACACTTTAAGCAACATGAAAACTGAGGAAGCATGACACCATGAAAGGAACACAATAATTTTACAGTAACCAACCCCAAAGAAGTGGAGATCTAAATATTTCCTGACAAGGAATTCAAAATAATTGTTTTAAGGGAGCATAGCAAGCTACAGCAGAACACAGACAACGCAACCAAAATTAGGAAAACAATACATTTAAAACGGAGATGTTCAACAAGAGTGAAACTCTGTCCCAAAACAAAAACAAACACAAAACAAGAAAAATTAGCTGGGCTTGGCGGCATGTGCCTGTAATCCGGGAGATTGAGGCAGGAGAATTGCTTGTACCCGGGAAGTGGAGGTTGCAGTGAGCCGAGATCGCACCATTGGACTCCAGCGTGGGCAACAAGAGTGAAACTAAAAAATAAAATAAAATAAAAATAAAAAGATTTTTAAAAAATTGTATATCTGTATGGAGTATTCGCCATGGAGCTTTCAGGACTGGCTGTTGCCCTGGGTGAGTCAGTGAGTGAGTAGTGATGCATATGAAGGTCTAGGACATTACTGTACATGATGCAGACTTTACAAACACTGTACATGTAAGCTATACAAGTTCATTTGAAAAATAATTGTGCTATGATGTTACAATGGCTATGACATCACTAGGTGATATGAATTTTTCCATTTCATTATAATCTTAGGGGACTACCGTCTAATATGCGGTCCATCACTGACCAAAACATCATTATGTAGATATAATGTATATGCTGCCCTTTAAGGAAACACACAGGCTGAAACTGAAGAGATGGAAAAAGATGTTTGACTCCCATGTCCATTGCAGCATTTTCCATAATAGCCAAGACATGGAAACAACCTCAGTGTCTACAAACAGATGAATGGATAATGAAAATGTAACTATAGGTCGGGCGCGGTAGCTCAAGCCTGTAATCCCAGCACTTTGGGAGGCCGAGACGGGCGGATCACTAGGTCAGGAGATAGAGACCATCCTGGCTAACAC